CTCCACTCACCGTCTTCGGGATTGGGTCCTTTGTTCAAACTCCATTACGCCCATGGTTCTGGTGTGTAGATCCCGGAAAGCTCCGACCCCGCAAGTGTTCTGGGACTCATTAATGGAGCGGCTTCTAGATTGCGTCTGAATCCGTTCAAAGCCAAGTGCTTCGGATCTCTAGGTTCATGGTTCCAAACCCTTTCGAGTCCGAGCCTGAGTAAGTCTCTAAGTTCGTGGATCCGAACCTTTTCAAGGCTTAGAGCAATTCGACCCGTTTGATGGCAATTAATCAGGGCCCATCAATCTTGGATTTGTGATAAATTCGGGCCCACCAACCTTGGGCTATTGGGCCTAATTAATTTAGCAATCTCAAATTAGCTCCTCTTACAAACCTTTATGCATATTATTCACCCAAAAACCTTTAGGCATATTTTGCCAACTCTTTTCACATTTATATCTGTTGTAAATCTCAATTATTAGGTGATAAGATCATTATATCTAATATTTACTCATTCTACGATTGAAAAAAAAACTATTAAACAAGACAAACACAATAAAAAGTAACAAACTATCTCAATTAACTCAACTAGAGAATAAAGACAGTGCGAAATAAAGAATAAAAAATAAAAATGCTTTCAATCCATCCCTTGTTCCATTCTAATTCATCCCCATCATGGGATCGAGTTGTCCAAGTCCAATAAGATATAGTGACAGATCTCATGAATAACTAGTCCAATCTCTCTTTTTTATCCGACAATCAAACGTGCCATAAGTATTTGCTACCTTTTCTCAGGTTTCAAACGTATAATACTTCCAAACAAAAACTAGCAAAGTCCCTCCCCACCAAAACTTACTGGAAAATGGGACTAGATCCTTCCCCCCTTCCCAACTACGAGTAAGATCGAGAGGAGACTGAAAGCCCCCAAACCAAGAATGGAGAGGGAATCCTTTTGATTCACTCCCCATTCTCAATTAATTAAATAAATTAATTAAAAAAAAATGGCTCGCCCTCGAGCTCTGGGCAGGACAGTTGGGTCTTTCCTTGTTGTTTTGTTTCCATCACGCATGGAAGACCCCTGTTGCAATTTTGTCTTGTTGGCATTTCTTCCTTGTCCCCCTATCCTAAACTCCTTCTCTAGTGCATGATGAAAGTTAAAATAGACTCAACATATGACATAGGGGATTTGAAACTTGAGAACAATGAAGAATTGAGATAGAGGTAAGGCTGTAAACAAACAGAATTAAGCTGAATAGTAGGTTGTCCAAACTTGATTTGTTTATCTTAGCAAGCTTCAAAATAAGTTCAAGCTTGATTTGTTTATCTTTCGAGCCAAACTCAAACGAGTTCAATCGAGTCGAGTTATAAGCTTATCAAGCGTTTGTTCAATGTTTTGCTTGAAAACTTAACGAGCTTTAAATTGTGTTTAAATTTCTTGGTTACATTATAAGTCAATTTGAAACAAACTTTTAACAATTCAAGGTTAATTAATTTGGTTTGTTTTTCAGTTCTAGACAGAAGATCCTGTGTGTTGGAAAATATCTGCCATGACAGTAGTGTGTTAGACGCTTATTTGGTATAAAACTATTCAAACCTCTCAAAGCATGAAATTTGTTTCTTATGTGTGTTTTCTCATCATTCTAATTTTGAAGCTTTCCAATGGTTTGTACCCATATGAGAGGTTGGGGGATTCAAACCTAAGTGTGCAAGCTTTAAAAGTTGGAGAATCAAATATAGGTGAGAGAAGAGGAAAAAAAAATACCAACACATGGGGCAAATGTGTCTATGGTAGGATGCAAATAAAAGGTTGTAGGAGTGCAACCAAGTATGTCTGTGGTAGAGTGCAAATTAAAGATTGTAGGGGTGCATGTTGGTATTTCTTTTCTATCTCCCACATGTATGTACTACATGCCAACCGTTGCAGGTTCACCTATCCCTGCTAAGAGGCTCCCTTTCTCATACCCTTAAAAGGAGGCTAAATATATATTTTACATTGCGGTCCTAAAAAAAATTCAAGCTTGTTTCATTGGCTTTCTGTTTTCAAATAAATGCAGAAGGGCTCCATCTCTCTCCTTGTAGTTGTTAAGAATCCCTAACATCTAATGAGAATTGGCAAGAAACAAAACACAAAAAAGAACAAATGCACAAAAATGATAAATCACACGCACACACAAAGAACACAAGATTTACCTAATTCATCCCAAAAGTAAGATTTCGTCTACGATTGTTGTTGGATTTCACTATAATCATAAAAATCGTAAGAGATTTTAGATATAACCGGCTCCCCTCAACTATAGAAACATATGAATATACCAAAAATACCCTTCCTCCAAACGACCACAACAGTTGCTGCCTCAAGCATTGGAAGAATGCTAGCTGACAATGAACTTTAGAATTTCTTCATTTCACATAAATGGTCTAAAACATTGGAAGAATGAAAATGGTAAAAGCTGCCAAACACTACTGTTACAATTCATGTTTCTTTTGTTGGACAATTTTCACTGTATTTAAAATAATTAATTCTTTAATGTACTAAACAACAACAGAATAATAAATTAAACAACTTACTTGATTAATTTCTTCTAATAAATATCTGATCAAGCCCAGTGTTTGACACTGTGTCCTTAAGACAGATTCGTCTTCTCCTTGGTGCTTTCAGAATATGGACGTCTATCTCCCAAGATGAAATGATCAACTACAAACAATAGCAGCACTACAAATTGTTTGCCTAACGAACACATTAAGTATTTATACTCTTCTCACAAAAACTAAATGCAGCAAAATGAAGAATAAATTTGCAGAGGTGAAGTATGAAATTTCTAAATGTGTAAAACATCAAATGAGGGCTATCTTATTCATAGATGGATTGGTGGCTGCAGGTTTTGAATTAAACAGGTGCAAACCTGTTTGAACATGCATGAAACCTGTTTGGTTTTGAATTTAAACAGATTTGAATCTGTTGGGTTCACAATTCAAACAAATAACAAAAACGGGAAGGGCCCTGTTTGGGTGTACAGTAAAACCGGACAAGTTTATTTCCGGAATTAATTTGAATTCTGGATTTTATTTTACCAAAAAATAAAATAAAATTCAAATGTTTTTGACCCAAAAAGATAGGTATTGGGCTGAACAAGCCCAACCACGCACCAGTGCCCAAGTGGCGGGCGCGTGTGGTGATATTTAGATCTAATGGGTCTAGCCCATAACCTCCCTCTCTAAAACACTTGGGTACCCCTTAGGGCACACCCTAAGTTCCAATCCATGCCTTATAAATCCATTCAAAACTTCCCACCAAATCAATGTGGGACAAGCTTTATTCAAACCTTTAAGGATTTTCCACCAAAACCCCATTTCCATGGAGCACACTTTGGTTTCAATTTCCCATTCACTCAGTAATGGTTTTGAGCAACCAAATATACCACATGAATCACAACGCGGCATAGAACGCGTTACCACTTTGACCCGCGAAAATCGACGCACGGGGCCCACCTAAATAATAGACCAAAGTTAGGAAAAAATCTGTTATATACCCAAATTTTTCCAAACCATTTCCAACATCTTTAACTTCAAATAAATAATTTATTATTGACCGGAGGGTGAGTCTTTTAGATTGTAATCTAAAAAATAGAATTTAGAAAGAAAATCAGGAAATCATATTAAAAGTGACAGAATGACCAAACAATGGGAAATTTACTGCTGGTTTGGCAGGAACAACGAAGATTCGAAATACAACAGGAAGGATAGGATTATTCATTGGAGAAAAATATTATTCTGAGAAGGTCCATCAGGCGTAATTCTGCACTACCTTTCCCGTACATTTCAAGCTCTTACGGATTTGCTAGATATATGTTTTCAATTAGCGGAAGTGATGCAGCCAAGCTTTTAAATTTTAAATTTTATTGTTTTAGAATTAATGTTTAATTAGTAATATTTTGATTTCATATTGAGTTGCCTAGAATTATTAGGTTTCCTGTGTAGTTCAATAATTAGGATCACTTTTGTCTACAAGACTTAATTAATTTCCTACTATTTGATATTCCTTCCCAATATTAAATGACGTTACTAGTAAAAGAGTACCAGTAATAAAATTCTCTTACATTGCATTAGGAATCCTTACGTTGAGTTTGGTTGATGGATTTGGGAAAAGATTTAGAAAAAAAAAAAGAAAAAAAGTGTACAAAATTAGGTGAAATGTAAGTATATTTTATTCACATTTTACCTACATTTTCCCTTTCTCTTTCCAAATCCCTTCTTAAATTCTCCAACCAAATACGCGTTAAAAGGGAAAATGATACAATTTTAAATATTGTTGACCAAATTATTAATTTTGTACTTTTAAATAGTATGATACAATTTTAAATATTATTGACCGAATTATTAATTTTGTACTTTTAAACAGTTGACATTCTTTCACGAATGTAATATTCCCATTGGAAAGTGAATTCCTACATAGTTTGATAATGTGATTCAGACAATTCAGGGTCTGAAACAGAGGAATCACTTTCCTATCCATTATGTTTCAAATGCTGCTGGAATCATGAAGACCCGGAATCACATTCGCATTCTCTCTCAAGATTCCTGTCATCCAAAACTAGCCTAAGTTGTTAGGATTTCTATTATTATAAGGTTTTATGGCTAACAGTGTTCAGTCAATGATGAATAATAGAAAATTCATTTGAGAGTTTTTCCTACATTTTTCCCTATGGTAATTTTGAATTCTACAGAATTACAGAAGATTTGTATTAGTCTTGTTGCTATAGATTCTGCTCTTACACATTTCCGCTACATCAGTGAGCCTAAGCAGTTGGTTGCAAAGCTTATTAATATTTTTCTTGCAATTTTCTGTGTTCCTTGAAGATATTGAGGTTTCTTTTGCATTCAATTACCACAGATTCAAGCCACACATTTCCCCTGTCGTAAAGAAAATACTACCCATTTGGAAAGTGAACAGATTTATACAAAAAAAAATATGGGATCTTAAGCAACTTCACAATTTTTTCCCCAAGAGATCTAAGAAAATAGCAGATGACTGAAAATTATTTATTACATTCACAATCAAAGTTTGCAGTATCTCATGAAAATTAAGAAGTACAAATCCAGAAAACTGAACAGAGAATACAAGGACCTAAAAATAGATATTCAAGCTCACAAAAACAGAACAAAAACAATCCAACTGAATGTGCAATAAACAGCATTCTAGTTCAAGAATAATACCAGACATGAGAAGTAGAGAGTCTAAATTAACTCACAACCTCAATGGGTTCGAAACCTTTCTCAATTGATGCCTTGACTGCATCCAGAACCAGTTGTGTCTTCCTACTGAATGTCGGCCACTTTTTCTCAGGACTTTGTCCATTTCCTTTTATACCCCCAACCAACCTCGAAAATTCCCTCACCATGCACGCTTCCTGAGGAAGATCGGTCGTGACAGTGTGCTCGCTAGGTTTTGGTACCCAACCCGTCACGAGTTCATTGAACCACGATTCTGTCGCCATTGTAAATGAAGCCTCGTCCTCTTCAAAAGGAATAATAAAGTCCCGAAGATGCAAAGTTCCCTTTGTTCCAATAGCAGTTACATCCATGGTCAAATTTGATAGGAACGAGCAATGGAAGGTCGCTACTTTACCATCTTCCCAATGCAAAGAAGCACCACACGATAGAATTACTCCCACTTCATTCAAAACCGGACCGCGCAAAGCTACTACTGTTTTAGGCAGCTCAAAATCAGCAATCCAAAGGATCGAGCGGACACAGTACCACCCAGCATCACCAAGAGCACCAAGAGCATCGAGGTCTGGCTTCATGCGGATATCATTCTTGAGAAAATCTGGGTCGGCAGCAAATGTAAAGCAGCTGTTTATCTGTGGGATTTACAAGAGATCATTTTCTAGCAATATAAAAGGGAATAATTCTGGTACAACGAAACGCAATTTGTCAAGAATAAGGCACTCATGACTTCAATAAGGAGGCTGTGATGTCATCCTCACAAATCAAGGGAAAAGTAGATGAGTGTCAGGTAGAAGATAATTTTCCATGTAAACTATCAATTTCAGAAAATGATACAAGATACTGAACATGAACCAAGAAGACAGTACTAGACTCTCCATCTAAAATTATATGAAAGTGGAATAGGGAAGGGAAACTGCATAGCGCAGCAGTACAACTTGAACTCAGGCATCACACCTAGTAAGGGAGCACTTTAACCACCAGGCCAACCCCTTGGTCCTATATGAACTATTACTTTACACTAATCTTTTCTTGTAATACAAGGGAACTATTCTCCAACTTCACAAAGCTATCTAGCTCCACCTTCCTAATTGCGAAGGGATTTATTCCCCAACTTTATAAAGCCATCAACCTCCATATGCATGAATATGCATGAGCACTGAATTTCATACTATCTTGCTATGGTAATTTACCCAATATTCATTATCATACGGGTTATGACCCCCACCCTACCAGCCATAGCTTGCCCCAATAACTGAAATAGAAAACAATATATATAAACATTTATTTTCTTCTTCTGGTACATGAATGATATAAATTACTAAACCACATTGGAATTATTGTTAGTTCCAAAGGTTCCTTCCATGTTCAGGTATTTGAAGCTGTAAATATCCAAATGAAAGCTAAATTGTGATATTTCTAATAAAATCGAGCTCCGTCTTTCTAGCACATTGCTAAGGAGGTCAAATAGAGCAGCTGAGTTCCTCATTAATTTGGTTCTGTGAAAAAAACTAGCAATAGATGATAACAGAGGTGTAGCTTTTCTGTCCTTTATTTTATTTTATATATATATTTATTATTATTAATTAAAATTTTATATTAAAGAAGGTAGTGTGGGGGCAAACAAGAACTTCTACATCAACGCAAGCCTCCATGGACACTGACAAAACCATATAAGCTACAAAAAGCTAGCCTATCCAATACTCTAACCAACCTATCCAGTACTCTAACCAATATCCAAGGGCAACCAACATCACGTATCCCTCCTCTGCCTCCTACATGACAATCTTATTATCTCTAGCCTCATAATGGATGGTGCTAACAATTTTTTTTTAACTCCCTTCCACATCTAGCTTTGATTCCCTCACTCCTTGCAGACTTACCATTCATCTGTGGCCTCTTTTTTGCTTTAATAGCCATTAGCAACTTCAATGCATCATTATCAAATCCTCACAAGGGAGCCCAAGAAATTGAAAACTTATAAATATGCCCACTAATGTTCTCTTTACACCCACATGTATCAGTATATTTCCATATGATACAAGGCATACAAATGCATGAGCAATTATCTTGATGCCTTTAGAAGCTCTCTAAGATATTTGCCAAGTCCTTTAAAACTTTTCACCACCCACCTAATGTCTCGGTCCCTTCCTCAACTGACATCGTTCCCCCTTTACACACCATATCTGAATTAGTGAGATACTACCACTGGTTTGAAAGCTTCCTTTCGCCCTGCCCTCCTTGAATCTCATCCCTTCTCTATTTGAATCACTAACACCTATGGCCTTCTCCTTCACTGCCTTCGGCTCAAATCTCCTCCCTCTCCTCTTCTCCCTTTAGGTATAAAATAGCTAAAGGAAGATCCATCCCTCTTTCAGACTCTATCTTCTTTAATGGCCTAGTAGAAAGCTTTTTCCCTTCGAGGAGAAGAGGATGGCAAATCCTCGTTTTAGATAGTGGCCACGACTGCTAGCAGAAGAGAACAGATTTTCGTGCCAGAATCTGATTCTAGTGGTGGTTGGGAGGGAGTTGCATTGGTCATGGAGGGTTTTGCCTTTGGGGATGGATGGGCCAGAATGAAGAACAACCAACCTAGGGTGGAGGCAGTAGGGAGGCCACCGAAGGTGATTGCGCCAGTACATCGGGATGCGGATGTGGGGGATGTGGTGGTTCAGGTAGGTTCTGAAGGGGGGGTGGTTTCGGAAGTTGGATAGAGCGGTAATGGGGAGGGTGGGGGTTTTGGGGGAAAAAGGTTTCAATACGTTGGTGGTCGCAAATTGGGTGCTTCGATGGTGGAAACCGTCGGGAAAAGTGGAGGTTTATGGAATTGGAGGGCAATTTTACCTCTTTGTCTTCAAATCAAGGCATGAGGCTAAGAGTGTGATACGACGGCAGTGGACGATAGCTGGGCGTGATATGGTTCTTAGCTGGTGGTCGCCGGATTCGCTATGTGCGGATGGCGGGGCACCAGTTTCGATATCCAATAACTGGGTACAAATTTTGGGCTTTCCAATCCACCTTTGAAGTCCTGAGTTGTTTCGCGAGATTGGCAACAGATGTGGTGGTTTTGTGGCGATCGATGAGTCGGTGGAGATGTTAGGGTGTGTTCGGTTGAAGATGTGTGGCCAGGCCAGTGGGTATCCGTCGCAGATTTCAATTCGATGCGGTTCACGGCGTTATACGCTACCTATCTGGTCGGAAACTGGGCCAGTGGTGGTTGCTGCGCCGGCGTTAGGTGGTTCTACGATTACAGATCGGCCGGCTTACGGCGTGAGGCTGAGAGTGTGATACGACGGCAGTGGACGATAGCTGGGCGCGATATGGTTCTTAGCTGGTGGTCGCTGGATTCGCTGTGTGAGGATGGCGGGGCACCAGTTTCGATATCCAATAACTGGGTACAGATTTTGGGCCTTCCAATCCACCTTCGAAGTCCTGAGTTGTTTCGCGAGATTGGCAACAGATGTGGTGGTTTTGTAGCGATCGATGAGTCGGTGGAGATGCTGGGGTGTGTTCCGTTGAAGGTGCGTAGCCAGGCCAGTGGGTATCCGTCGCAGATTTCAATCTGATGGGGTTCACGGTGTTATATGCTGTCTATCTAGTCGGAAACTGGGCCAGTGGTGGTTGCTGCGCCGGCGTTAGGTGGTTCTACGATTACAGATCGGCCGGCTTTGAACGGCGTGAATCACGGACGGAAGGCGTGGCAAGGATTTCGAAGGACAGCTCAGTTGCAGAGATTGGGGGAGCGGAGGGGATCACGTTTGAATCCTCAGAGACTTGGGAAATTTAGGGTTGTGGGTCAATGGAGGCCTAGGCCCACGGGATTTGGGAAATTTAGGGCTAGGGGTCAATGGAGGCAGCCACAGGCCCAACAGGAGATGGGTCATCAGGAAATGGGCCTTTTGGACCAACAGACATTCAATCAAGCCCAATCTGAGGCCTTTACCGAGGGTGAGGCTATTGGGCTTCATGGTATGTTCAATGGGTGTGGCTTGGGTGAGTCTTTTGTGGACCGTGTTTTTTACCCTAGTTTGGGCCCATCTTCTAAGGAACCACCTGGGCAGCTTACGGGTCAAGTAGAGGATCCACCGGTGGCACGGGTTTTTGAGTTACTCCGTCGGAGTGTGGGTTCGCCTTCATCAAAGGGGTCCTCGCTGGCGAGGAAGGACCGACGGCAGTCGCCGATATGTGCCCCACGCAGTCACCGTTGGCGACTGGGCCTTCGCAGCGTCAGCCCGAGTTCAATTCAGAAGAGGGCGGGGATGAGGCGCGACCATATGCTGAACCTAGTCAGATGCTGGTTCTGAGGTCTGAAGGTTGCGAACAGGAAGGCGCCGATTTGGGCTGTCACGTCGACCTTAGTACGGGGTTGGAAGGTGATTTACAAGGCGATCCCTGGACTGTTCACGGTGAGAGTTTGCCTTTGGTTCTTCACCCAATGGAAATGAAGACTGTGGACTCTACGGCTGTCGGGGTTGGGACCGCCACCGAGAATTTTGCAGGTGATGCAATTCCTGATCGGAGTCAGGTGTCTGCTTGGGTGTTGTCCCAGATTCAGGAGATTAGCTCTTTGCTTGGGGTTTCATTTGTTGGGCATAAGGTTGAAGCAATGAGGCTGTTTTCTACCATTGAGGCATCATGGAGGGGGAGTGATCCAGGTGGGAAACAGTTGCAGGTGGTTGGGCATCAGGGAAAGGGTGCTCGAGAGTTGCGAAATTTGCAGTGTTCTATTAATTATGATAGGCCACCAGAAGGTGGTAGGGTTGTTAAGAAGGAGCGGGTTAACCAGTCATTATTGCCATGCGGTTGAAAATCTTGACTTGGAATGTGCGTGGTCTTAATGATAGAGGGAAAAGGTCAGGGCGATTTTGAGGAAGGCGAAAGCGGATGTTGTATGTTTTCAGGAGACCAAAATGGATTACATAGACCAAGCGGTGGTTATGGAGGTGTGGGGGGGCCGGTATATAGATTGGTCATACTTGCCGTCTGTTGGGGTGGCTGGGGGGATTTTGTTAGGAAGGAGCGGGTTAACCAATCATTATTGCCATGCGGTTGAAAATCTTGACTTGGAATGTGCGTGGTCTTAATGATAGAGGGAAAAGGGTGACGGTCAGGGCGATTTTGAGGAAGGCGAAAGCGGATGTTGTATGTTTTCAGGAGACCAAAATGGATTACATAGACCAGGCGGTGGTTATGGAGGTGTGGGGGAGAGGGGGCGGTAGATAGATTGGTCATACTTGCTGTCTGTTGGGGTGGCTGGGGGCATTTTAGTGTGTTGGTATCAAAGAGTGGTTGATAAAGAGGAGGAAGAGGTGGGTAGTTTTTCTCTATCATGTTTGTTTCGCTGTATTGGAGATGATTTCCGTTGGGTGTTCACAAGAGTTTATGGGCTGGTGAGAGGGGCAGAGCGGTCTTTATTTTTGGACGAAATACAGAATATTGCTTTCCGGTGGTCAGCGCCATGGTGTGTAGGGGGGATTTTAATATGGTGCGTTGTTCGGAGGAGAAGTTGGGTTTGCGCCCAGCAGTGGGTGCTATACGAGATTTTTCTTCGTTGATTGATGATCTGGAGTTGATTGATCTCCCGATGCAGGGAGGTAGCTTCACTTGGTCGGGTGGTCGGGTATTTTCGCGTATTGACCGGTTTTTGATTTCAGGAGATTGGGAAAAGCATTTCTCCCGAGTGGTTCAACAAAGATTGGAGCGTCCTGTCTCGGATCATTGGCCGGGTACTGTTGGATAGTGGTGGGATTCGGAGTGGACCGGTGCCATTTAGATTTGAAAATATGTGGGCACAATCTGCAGGTTTTGTGGATATAGTTCGGTCGTGGTGTGAAGGCTATGATGTCATGGGAGATCCTAGTTACAAATTGGCTCAGAAATTAAAACTTTTAAAAGCCGACTTGCGAAGGTGGAATAAGGAGGTGTTTGGACAGGTAGATACTCAAAAGGCTAATCTTTTGGTTGTATTGCAAGAGTTAGATGCAAAGGAAGTGGCGGGTAGCTTGACTGCTGAGGAGTTGGCGGTCCGTGAGGGGCTGAGACAGGAGTATGGTCAGGTGGCTCATATGGAGGAGATTAGTTATCGCCAGCGGTCGCGATGTTTGTGGTTGAAAGATGGAGATCGGAATACAAAATATTTTCACCATATGGCGAATGCTCATCGTCGGGTTAATCAAGTTGGGAAGTTGTGGGTTAATGGGGTGTTGTTATCGTCAGAGGAGGAGGTAAGAGAGGGCATGGTGGCTTTTACCAGCATTTGTTTCGGGGGAAGGATGGGACTTGGAGGCCAAGTTTGGATGGTGTTCAGTTTGATGCTATTTCAAAGGCGGATAGGCAAATGCTGGAGCGGCCTTTTTTCGAGGAGGAGGTTTTCGAGGCTCTTTAGAAAATGTCTGGGGATAAGGCGCCAGGCCCAGATGGTTTTACTATGCTTTTCTTCCAGCGGTGTTGGGAAGTGGTCAAGACAGATGTCTTAGCCTTGTTTGCTCAGTTTTATTAGTTCGGGCAGTTTGAAAGGAGTCTTAATGCAACTTTTGTAGCGTTAATTCCTAAGAAGGGTGGGGCGGCGGATATAAAAGATTTCCGACCCATTAGCCTGTTGGGGAGTGTGTACAAGTTTCTGGCGAAAGTTTTGGCTAACAGGTTGGGCGGTGTCTTGGAGGGGCTGATGTCTGAGTCCCAGAATGCCTTTGTGGGGGGGCGTTAGATTTTGGATGCTGTGGCATCAAATTTTGGATGCTGTGTTGGTAGCAAATGAGAGTGTTGGCACGCGAATTCGGCAAGGGTGTGCTGGTCTTATTTGTGAGTTAGATATTGAGAAGGCATATGTTAATGTGAATTGGCGGTTTTTGATGTATATGTTAGAGCGAATGGGGTTTGGGGAATGGTGGAGGCAGTGGATTCAGTTTTGTATATCGACGATTAGGATGTCTGTCCTAGTGAATGGGACGCCAGCGGGATTTTTCTCGACTCATAGGGGTTTACGGCAGGGTGACCCTTTGTCTCCTTTATTATTTATTTTAATTATAGAGGCTTTGGAGCGCTTGTTATCTACTACAGTTCGGAGGGGTCTTTTGAAGGGTTTTGAGGTGGGTATGGAGCGAACTACTATATTAGTGGTGTCTTACTTGTTTTATGCGGATGATGCCCTTATTTTTTGTAGCGCGGAGGAGAGTCAGGTTGGTTATTTAAAGTGTGTTCTTCTCTATTTTGAGGCGATCTCGGGACTTCGGGTGAATTTGAGGAGATCAGAGTTGATTTCGGTTGGGTCCGTGCCACGTATTTCTATATTGGCTGCAATTTTGGGTTGTAAGATAGTCGCCTTACCCATAACTTATTTGGGGTTACCTTTGGGAGCTTCTTTTAAGGCTCCAAGGGTGTGGAATGAGGTGGTGGACAGGGTGCACGTTGTTTGGCAGGGTGGAAGCTGCAATATCTTTCGAAAGGGGGCCGCGTTACACTGATCAAGAGTGTCCTCTCGAGTATCCCGACTTATTTCATGTCAGTACATGTTATTCCTATGTCTGTTGCTCGAAGGTTGGAAAAGTTACAGAGGAATTTCTTATGGGAAAAAGGGTCAGAATCCTTCCATTATCATCTCGTAGCCTGGGAGCAAATCTGTTCTCCTAAGGAGATGGGGGGTTTGGGGATCCGGAGTTTGATTTCATTTAATTTGGCTCTTTTGGGGAAGTGGTTATGGCAGTTTGGGGTAGAGGGGGAGCGGTTGTGGACGAAGGTGGTCGGGGCTAAATATGGTTTGGGATGGGGGGATTGGAGTACGGAGGAGGTTACCCATTCACATGGTCACAGTTTATGGAAAGGAATTTGGTTGGGACGGAAGGAGTTTTGGAAGAATGTGAGTTTTTTGGTTGAGGAGGGGACCCGGGTTCGGTTTTGGAGGGATAGGTGGGGTGTGGAGCTGCCATTGGCGGTGATGTTTCCGTTGCTTTTTCGGATTGCCACTGACCGAGAGGCGACGGTGGATTCTTATGCCCAGATGCAAGGCCAGGTAGTTGTGTGGAATGTTGTTCTACATCGACAAGTGCAGGATTGGGAGATAGGGCAAGTGCTGGGTCTGTTGGGTTTTTTGTATGGGCTTCGGTTTAGAGGGGCTGGAGAGGATTTTATGAGGTGGGATTGTCCGAAGTCTAAAAGGGTGTTTTCTGTATCCTCTTTTTACCATAAGCTGACAAGGAGGGTTGGAGTGCCTTTCCCTTGGAAGAGTGTTTGGGTGGTGGGTTGTCCGTCTAAAGTTGCTTTCTTTGTGTGGACAGCTGCATTAGGCCGTATTCTGACGATTGATAATTTGAGTCAGCGTGGGCATATTTTGGTCAATTTGTGTTGCATGTGTTATGGAGCTGCGGAGTCAGTAGATCATTTGCTTATTTGCTGTCCGGTTGCTTCATGTCTTTGGATGTCTATAGTAGCTCTCTTTGGTTTGGATTGGGTTCAGCCAGGGACTGTAAGGGCTGTGTTACAAAGCTGGGTTGGGAGGAGGGTTGGGAAGAGAAGGCGGAGAGCTTGGAACTTGGCTGGCCATTGTCTTATGTGGCTACTGTGGTTGGAACGTAATCGGCAGGTATTTTTGAGGGAGATGCGTTCGGTGGTTTGGTTGGAGAGGCGTTTGCTCCTCGTGGTGCATAGTTGGTTAACGCTGACTGTGGACCCGGCCGTTTTGTCTTTTGTTGAATTTGTAGAGGACTTGTCTTCATAGTTCTTTTGCTTGCTTTATTCATGTTTTGTGTAGTTCCTCGTGGTGCATAGTTGGTTTAGCTTTTGTATTCTTTACATCGCCTTGATGCCTTTTAATAAAGTTGGTTATTTATCCAAAAAAAAAAAAGCTTCTTCCCTGTCTTAATCACAAAATTTGATAAAGATGAACACCTATTCTTGCAAACAACATCTACCTCCTATGCTCTACTATCTTCTTATACCACTAAAGCCAATCGAAGGCTTGATTGCCCTAATATCTCAGACTCCGCACTGGAATCTTCAATCTACCTCCTAATATCATCATGATTGGTCTCAAAGAGGTGTGGAAAATGTTTAGTGAACCTGTTGTTGCCTCCTCCCTAGGACCTACTGACAATTCTACAGAACTCCATCTTCATCACAGATGTCTTCCTGTCAATCAATTGCCACCTTTATATGTCAATCTAAAAAAGTATGAAGAAAAAATAATGATATGAATGTTTGGACATGTGTCCAGCGCGCCAAGAAGTGTCCTATGAGTGCAGTGTTCGACACGGGAACATGCCACATTCTTACACTCCGTTTGTTTGCAAGGAAAATATTTTTCTATGTTTGGTGGTGGTGGTGGAACAAAGATAGAGGCAGAGGTGGTGGCAGTGGCATGGTGTTGGGGTGACGGCAGTGGTGATGGTAGCGGTGGCCGTGGTAATGGCGGTGTGGTGACATGTAAAATTTTAGTAAGATAAACTTTTTCTAGCTTTCAAAAATTCCGCCTAGGTTTGTTTTCTATTGGCTATGGAAATTTTTTTCATTAATTTTCATTTTTCATCAACATCAAAAAAATACGGAAAACATTTTCGCCCAAACGGAGGGTTAGAAATGTTTGTGTTTTACCTACCACCCTTTGGTTTCGTTGGCCATGAAATTTTTTTCAGAAATTTTTTTGAAAAATTGAAATTAATTTGATAAAAACAAATATAAAAAGATTTTCAAATATTTTTGCTCTGAAAAAGATAAAATTATGTAAAAGTGGTAATTTTTTAAATTTATTTTACAAATTTAATTTTTAGTTTTTTTTTTTAAAACAAAATCTTAAAAAAGATTTTTAAGAATCCAACCAAACATTTCCGACAAAATTTTGAGCAACTTAGGGAATTTCATATTATTTTTTCCCCAAAATAACAATAACGAGTTAATTTCAACGAAAGTAAACATCGAATCAAACAAATTTCTCAATCAATCCCTATATATGAAGAAATAAACTAATGAATCAAAATTCACCGTTTTGAGTTGTCCAAAACGCTGCGAATCAGATAGAAATTCCTTCATCTTAGCAGTCCTGGGATTATGCATCCACATAGTAGCGTCCATGAACTGAACTCCATTAGCTTCGCAGGCCTTGAGAATCTGATCGAATTCCGAGACATTGAGAGCGACGGGCTTCTCGAGGAGGAGGTGCTTCTTCTTCTCCGCCGCCAACACCGCCCACCGGATGTGCAGGCTGGTGGGGAGGGGGACGTAGACGGCGTCCACGTCGGGGTCGTCGAGGACGGCGTCGTAGCTGCCGTAGATCTTGGCGGAGGGAGGGAAGCCATTTGCGGCGGCGAATTGCGAGGCTTTGTCGATGGAGCGGCTGCCGATGGCGTAGAGGGTGGCGTTGGGGGCCAGAATGATGGCCCTTGACACCTTGCGTGCGATGTCGGCGCACCCTATGATTCCGAATTGGATTGGATTTTGGATTGGATTCACGGCCATTGTTGATGATGGAGAGTGTGCCCTGTGGTGGAGTCTATGTAAGTGTAGTGTGAGAGAGTAGTGTTCTGATGATGACAATTGAGGTGAAGTGTAAAAGGTATTGGTCCAAACACCGTTTGGAGAATATAGATGATGCGTTAACATATTATAAATTATAATAGATGATGCGTTAACATATTATAAATTATAATTTTAAGGAAAATTGGTCTAGGCTCCTCTCTCACTTTTCATAATGAAAAAGATTTACAAAATTATTTTTTAATATTAAAGGTCCCTAAATATATATTAGAGAAATTTGATTCTTTGACTCTGCTCTACTCTCTCTCTCTTCTCCTCTTACCCACTGTCTTCCAAATCTAAGGCAACAAGCTTTGCTCCTCTACCCTCCTCTACGACCTCTTCCTCAACACCTTCTCCTCCGACTCCTCCTTCCGCTCCGCCACCGTCGTAGACCTTCGCGCTGCCCGAATCCGCGACCCGGCCTCATAACAGGTCGCTACTATTCTCTAAACCTGAGATTCGCAGACCAACATTCATGTTTATCCTGATTGGGCAGCCACGCTTTGATACCCAGATCTTGAAGAAATTGCGAATTTTACAAGCTGCCAAGCATGCAATGGCTCCATTCGCAAGATCTCAAACGACACCTTCATCCACATCTAGATCTCATCATTCATCTTCATCATCACGAACTTCTGTATTGGGAACAATGTTTAACAATCATTCTCCGGGTAGAAATAGTGGTATCTTGAGTCGCAATGCTTCAGCAATATCATTTATGTCGGGCTTAGGTTCATATACCTCTTTGTTTCCAAGACAGTGTACTCCAGTCATACTTTTTGTTTTTCTTGATGATTTCTCAGATGTTAATTCTGGTTCTAATACTGAGGAGTCAATTGACACGTCCTCATCGAATTAGTCTTCAAGTTTGAGCAGTTTAGCTAGGCCAAGCTTGCCTATGAAAGGATCAGGACCAGTTGTTGTGCTAGCACGCCCTGTGAGTAAATCTAAAGGTGGATTGAAGAAGAAATTGCAGTCATCTCTTGAAGCATGGATCCGTTTTTCAATTAAGAAATTTCTTTGGCTGGGAATTTTCTCTGGGTTGTGAAGTCCAGAGAAATTCACTGGTGGGAGAATCTCTGGAAATGTTTGTCTGAGAATTTCTTTGGGTTTGGGAAGTCTAGAGAAATTTTGAAATTTCTCATGTGTCTAGGGAAATTTTGAAATTTCTCTGGTTCAACCTTTGGACAGCAAAAGATGGCTCTGTTTCTCCAAAGCCAAGTTTTTTCCATGAGAATTACTGCAGAAAGCGCAAAATCTGACTTGCTTGAAGGAGAAACTCGAAATATCAAGGATGGAGTGAGAATATGGTTGATCCAATTTGAGAATGATAGGTGAGAGAAATCATCTGTCCTAATACCCAACTTGGCAAACCAAATCATCTTGATGGGTTTGCAGGTAAATTTTAGATAGAATTGAATTTCTTCGAATTGAATTTTCTCTAGTTTGGACCAGAGAATTTCTCTGGATTGAATTTTCTCTAGATTGAATTTTCTCTGGACTGAAATTTCTCTAGATTAATGTTGAGGGACCATAGACATCATGAAAATAGTTGATGTCCTTTATACTATAAAATCATAATATCGGGGACCTTTAAAAAAATATCCCTAATTTTAAATATAAGCTGTGGATTTGTTTGTTATAATTTTTTGTCTTTGTTAATTTTATTTAATTTATTAATTTATTAAAATTAATATTTATGTTCTAATTTATATTAATATTGTGATTTCATTGCATATTATTTTTTACATATTTATTTTATTTATTTATATCTGTATTTCTTTTCTTTATTATTATTATTATTATTAATTGTGATTTTTGTTCATCAATTAGTATAAAAATTATCAATTTGTTCATCAATTATTAAAATTAGTATCAATTATTAATTATTATTATTATTATTAATTTGTTCATCAATTATTATTATTCATATTATTATTCATCTTAATTATTTTTGTTCATTACATATATTCATTAAAATTATTAGTATCAATTAGTATTAATTATTTTATATATATTTTTTTATATTGATGTTGGGTACAGGCCAAAGATGGAGTGTCGTCGCCGGAGATGACCTAGTCATCGTTGAAACAATGCCGGAGATGCGCGAGCCAAAACCCGTCGCCGTCGATGACCTAGCTCCCTTCTCTTTCCCCTGATACCCTAGACCTTATGGTCTACCAAAACCCTAGCCTGGTTCTCCGACTAGATCGTGAAGAGAGAGAGAGAGAGAGATATCTCGTTGATGCGATGGCAGTGGTTCTCCGATCACGACGTTAGGGTTTCAGATCGTGACGTTATGGTTTTAGACCACGACGTTAGGGTTTCAGACCGCATGAACCAAAGAGAGAGAGATCGTGATGAGAGAGAAACAGAACCAAAAATCTCCTACCGTCGCTGGAAATTATATTTTTTGTTTTGGGCTAGCGTGATTGGGTTTGGGTCTGGACTCATATTTTTTCCCTCCAAAATTATATTTCTTGTTATTGATTTGTCATGGGTTGGGTATTCAATTTGGCCTGATAGGCTTAGGTGATCAATTTTGAATGTTATTTTTGTGAGAGTAGGTTTCTATTTCAATTTGTGTCTATTATAGTTGTCATTAGCAAAAAAAAATAAAAATTAGTTAGCTTTTTAGAATTGCGACTTTTTTAGCTTAAGAGTAAAAAGTTTGTTGGGGTTCACTTTTTTTACTTTTATGAGAGAAAAAGTAAAATAATTGTAGTTTTGATGTGACATTTTATCTTATTGACTTTTTAAACTATTTTGTCTTTTAGTTAGGGGTGTAAATGGTTCGGTTCGATCAGTGTTAAGAGTATATTTAGTACCGAACCAATCCTTTTGATTTTTATGATTGAGAAAACGATACAGACCATATGCTACGATTTGATTTTATTGGTTTCCATTTCAGTTTGATGTAAAAGACAAATTTATATGAAATTTTAAAAGGTTTTATAATAGATTATAGAATTTTACATTGAAATAAATGAGGAAAATATATGAAAATTGCTCTATAAATGCGTAGCTTGCTTTTTGTGCTCCTTTCGGATACGATTAACCCTACAGTTCAGACTCCCGTGGTTCTGAATCTGATTTCACAATTGCAATGTGAAATAGACAAACACAAATGAGTCCAAATCCGACAAATCTTTTGGAAAATCGATTTGAATAAAAAATGTCAAAAATAGACTGATTTGCCAGATTACAGAGTTGCCACCTAAATAGTTTTAGAAAATTTAGAAAACCCATGACTCGTGCCAAAGGCCATTAGTCCGTCATTACCAAAGTGTCTCAGTTCAGGAACTTAGGTATGAGAAGAGAAGGTAATTAATTGAACACTCCGCTCACCTGATCAAAGATCAGCCTCTACTAATCATGATATAATTCTTATTCACATTATATACTCTTGTTCTGATTATTAGGCTAATCTTTACTAGGTGATGCACACAAGTATAGACCAATTCACAAAATTTGGAACGCATTGATTTTATGTTTGTTTTGAAAAAGTATTTTGAATACATGTCACTTGAAAAAGCAAACTCGTATTTTCATTTAATCAAATTATTCCAACTTAAGTAAAAAGGCTTTCATCTACGCATTCAAACAAGTATATCACTTAAGCACTTAGCCTCATGGAATATACTTGATATGGCAATACAAACATAAAATGTAACATACTAAAGCAATAAACACTTACCTAGTACTCCAAGGCAAGTCAAAAAAGAAATAAAATGGTTAGAAAAAAATTCATGCTCCTAAACAATATAATATGACTAATGCGACGCACACATTATGTAGATAACAAGTTCGGCTACTAGCATGGCATATGAACCACTTCAAAGTATGCTATAAATCACGTATTTGAACAAAGAATTTGAAATTAACATTGGTTAGAATGATGAGCCGAACCCTTATGCGTGCAAAACAAATGGATGCAAGTCATAGAAAATGCTAAGTAAATATGATGCTACCATTATAAACGGGTAAATAAAAAGGAGAAAAAAAATAGGGGTTGGAAGACATACACACTTATTACAATTGTGCCCTCATGCAAGAGGGTCCGAATGAATGTCCAAGTGTCTGAAATAAACTAACTATTACAAATCCGAATAGACAATAAAGGAATAACTATTTTATTACAACAATAATAAATAAAGAATGAACAAAGATCCCACGCGCGCCGACGAAGACAGTCCTCAGAAATTGCTTTGTCTGTTTGTTTTGTTTCACCCTCAGCCACTGCCCTCTGTTTCTGCCAAAGAACTCTGTTTACCACACATTGGAGCCCGGCCAGTTCCTAATGAGGCCCGACCGAGTCCAAACAAGGCTGGTCGTGCCCTAATTTCTTGCAAAAATATAATTGTGTGCTCTGGGGTGAAAACAATGCAGACAGAGCAACTTTAAGTCATGTTTGTCCATTTTGCTCTCCGCTATCATGAAACTTAAGAGAAGAGTGAATTCAATTCCGAACCCATCAATGATCGCAAGTTAATTACGTGATGGTTTCGAATACGATTTGGACATAAATTTATGGATGGAATGAAAGGTGACCACCCCTCCTTCTTATCATGAATTTAGCTCAAAGAGAGAGATAGACATGCCTCATGTTTCATAAACAAAATATCATGAAGTAACATATGATGACTCTTGACGCGATGGACTCGACATAACGTCCAGCCGAATCCAACCAATTTTATTACTCTTTTTTATGTCGATTTAGTCGATTTTAAAATAATTTTATTAATCCTTTTTGACTTATCTTTCCATTACTTAATCATTTTGTCCAAAGTGATAGTTAAGTCCACTAAATGAGAAGAAATTTCAAATGAGAAGTGATCCTTAACATGAAAGAGAGGCTATGCCTTGACGATGAACCTCCGAAGAGATTAAGCCATTGAGCATAGGGTCTCTTTCTCATGCCTCGAATAATAATCAATCGCTTGAAACAACTCTCAAACAAAGAAAAACAAGAAAGGAGGGAAGGTGCAAAAATAAGTATGCGAGATTGATTATTACCAAAAATAGAACTCTTTACATAGAAATTAAATAAATAAAGC